TGTACACTTTATCATGAATGAAAGGCCTTGAAGTATGTTTTATATCTCGTGTAACATAACATAGCTTCAGTCCATAGACGGTAGCACTTCAATAACATAGATGAGGACTACGATGTTCTGATTATGAGACTGTTACTTCTTGACGAAGGCTATGTCTAGAATATCCCTAGTCGCACTTTATGATAATACGGACGTCATAACGTATCAAGACTAGTACGTACGAGATGAGATAGTTGCGTCTCATAGACTATAGGTATTGTGATATCTTAATCTGTACGTAGGTGCATATTATATCGATAATATGTGACTGGATTGACATATCTTGAGAATACTACATGGATCTATGATAAGTCCGTTTCGTTCTTATCATTTACATCATATTCTAAACGTTATTGCACGTAAATAGTATTTAATCATCTTATAAAATGTGATTTCAATGAATAAAACTCTCATTTTCGTTCTAAGAGTCATAAAATGGGATACCACATGAAATCATCATAAATCATCCATTTTATGTTCAAATACTTGAGAAAAAGGGAATAAATCATAGGGGGATCAAGATTCGGGCTTGAACGAGCTTCCGGGAGGTCAAAAACAGTGTTCGGGGCCAAAACGGAGCGAAATTGGGCCGAAATCACGAACCAGCTGCGAAGCCCAACAAAGGAAGGGCCTAAGGCGTCCAACTTGGACGCTTGGCGAAGTTGGACGCTTGGGAGTTGGACGCTTTGGCTGGATTGCAGCCCAAGAATGACACATGGCAAAACCTGGTTGGCCGGGATAGCTTAGGCGTCCAGATATGGACGCTTGGACTTGGACACCTTGGCTCCGTTCCTATAAATACAGCCCGATCCCTCTCATTTTAATCATCCAACTTCATCCCAACTTCGGGATTTACTCTTCCAATCTCCATTATAGTTGTAGTATAGTTGTAGTAGTAAGTTTTGAAGTATTTTCGGAGGTTTTGACTCTAGAGTGTTGGAATAAGTGACCAACACTAGAGGGGGGGTGAATAGCGTTTGATCGTAGAAATCGCAGGAATAAAAAATTAAGATTGTGAAAAGTAAAGAGCGTAGAAAGCGTAAAGGGAGCACACCAAGATTTATACTGGTTCACCACAACGTGTGGCTAATTCAGTCCCGAGAGACTCTCTCGAGCTACACTACATCCGTTAAGCTTACGGGTGCTTAACAAACCGTTACAACCTGAGAACTCGAGTCCCACGAGCCTCAACAACACTTGCTCGGAGATAGCGCACTCCAAGACTTCAACCCGAAGGAAAATACCTTTCCTTCGTACAACCAAGGGAAACAAGCTTCCCTTAACGTGTATACAACACTAAGACACTCAAGAACAAGACTCTCCTTAAGAGTGGATATGAGTAAAATATATACGCTCAAGAACAACTCAAACTTCACACAAATTGGCTCTAGAAAGCTATGGAAAATAATGTGGTTTGGATGCAATGATAATATGAATATTGTGAAGTGAATTGGTGAGAAAAGCAGACCCAAACACCCCTTTTTATAGTGCCAAAAAAGGCTCCAACGGACCAATGCATTAAAGGGGTGATTAGCTTGATTTATGGGGTTGATTAAATGAGAATCTGCAGGATATTGGCTTCCCATCGATGTTTAGACTCAACCATCGCTGGTAAGCCAATTTTCCTTCAGTTTTGAAGCCAACGGTCACCTACCCATCGATGGGTTCAAGCTTCCCATCGCTGGGTGGGAGGTTGACTTCCAAACAAGGAAAGAATCAACCTTAAATGACCTACAATGGTCATCCCTTCCCATCGCTGGGTTCCCATCGATGGGATAGGTTTCCCATCGCTGGGCAAGGTCATTTTGCCTTGTGATAATTTTGCACCAAGGCTTGAACA